ACTGAAGTCGCCGCTCGCTGCCCATCGCCCGCCTTCGATGCCCTTCGCTGCCCGTACCGGTTCCGTGGTCGCCTTTGCTCGCTGCCCTTCGTGGCACCCTCGTTGCCCTTCGTGGCCCCGTTGCTGCCCTCAGTGGCCCCGCTGTCGCCCTTTGTGGCCCCGCATACGAATGCCCTTTGTGGCCTTCGGTCGCTCGCGCCCGTCGCGGCCCCATATGCATGCCCTTCGTGGCCCCGCTGTCGCCCTTTGTGGCCCCCTCGCTGCCCTTCGTGGCCCCGGTGCTGCCCTCAGCGGCCCCGTCGCTGCCCTCTGTGGCCTCGGATTTTTTGGCCTTCGTGGCCCACGCTGGCTTTTCTCACGGTTTACTTGGGAATCGCGCTATCGCTCGAGACGTCTTACCGATTCATGCAGGACCCGCGCTTCAGCAACCCGCCTGCTCGACCTCGTCGCCTAGGCCCGCCTTCCCGACCTGCCCGTCTGGTTATACCATCTGTCTTCTGCTCCTTGCCCCCCTCCTGCTAATTTCTCTCGTGCTTCATTTTTCTTACTCCCCCTTTCCACCCGTCCTCTCTTTCCTTGTTTCAGGGGCTGCACTGAATACGCGTGGCAGGTAAGGACGATATACTCCCAAGGGGGTACGATCGAAGACGACGAGAGCAGGTACCGAGGGTTTGAGATGTACGTATTGATTGGCACGTGAGCAGATTGGCACGTGAGGAGGAGGAGGAGGAGGAGGAGGAGGAGGAGGAGGAGGAGGAGGAGGAGGAGGAGGAGTAGAGTAGGAGTAGGAGTAGGAGTAGGAGTAGGAGTAGGAGTAGGAGTAGGAGTAGGAGTAGGAGGAGGAGGAGGAGGAGGAGGAGGAGAGGAGGAGGAGGAGGAGGAGGAGGAGGAGGAGGAGGAGTGGCGGAGGGGGAGGAGGAGGAGGAGGAGGAGGGGAGGAGGAGGAGGAGGAGGAGGAGGAGGAGGAGGAGAGGAGGAGGAGGAGGAGGGAGGGGGAGGGGGGAGGGGAGGGGGAGGAGGAGGAGGAGGAGGAGGAGGAGGAGGAGGAGGAGGAGGAGGAGGAGGAGGAGGGGGAGGGGGAGGAGGACAGGCTAGGTGCGCTCGCGTCATATCTGATATCCTACCCCTCCCTCCCATCCCTTAGCATGGCGTAGATTCCCTCCACAGTCGGATGTCGAGCAGGGCTATGATCCCGAAAGGGTACGCGATGCATTGTAGAACACGGCATGGCATGGCGTAGAGAAGCACCGCACAGCGTAGTATGTCACTGCATGGCGTGGCGTGGCGTAGTGAAGAATTACATCACGAAGCTTTTCAACGCAAAGCATGGCATCGCACAGCGGCCCCGGACATAACATTGCATAGCATTGCGTTGAATATCAAAGCGTAGCATGGCATAGCACGACGTGGCACTGAAGCACGGCATATCACAGCTTCAGCTGAAGGCATGGCATCGCGCAGCGGAGCGCAACCTAGCATTGGATTGCATGCTGTGGCATGGCACGGGAAATGACGCCAGCGCTGCAGCGGAAGCACGATTCGGAACGAGCGGAAGCGCGGAAATGAGGCCAGCGCTGCAGCGGGAACACGATTCGGAACGAGCGGAAGCACGGACATGAGGCCAGCGCTGCAGCGGGAGCGCGATTCGGAACGAGCGGGGCCCGAAAATGAGGCCGGCGCCTCAGCAAGAGCAGCATTTTGAAAAAATGCAGGCGAAAACCCGACTCCGGGCAATCCTGTGTGTAACAAAAACAGTACGCGGGGGGGGGGGCGAACACTCCCAACCCGTCATCAGGGGAAGGATGAGAGTAGTATTCATATTGAGTAAGTGTGGAGGAGGAGGAGGAGGAGGAGGAGGAGGAGGAGGAGGAGAGGAGGAGGAGGAGGAGGAGGAGGAGGAGGAGGAGGAGGAAGGAAGGAGGAGGAGGGGAGGAGGAGGCGGCGGAGGAGGAGAGGAGGAGGAGGAGGAGGAGGAGGAGGAGAGGAGGAGGAGGCGGAGGCGGAGCGGAGGCGGAGGGAGGCGGAGGCGGGGAGGAGGAGGAGGAGTAGGAGAGGGAGGAGGAGGAGGAGGAGGAGGAGGAGGAGGAGGAGGAGGCGGAGGAGGAGGAGGAGGAGGAGGAGGAGGAGGAGGAGGAGGAGGGAGGAGGAGGAGGTGGAGGAGGAGGAGGAGGAGGAGGCGGAGGAAGAGGAGGAGGAGGAGGAGGAGGAGGAGGAGGAGGAGGAGGAGGAGGAGGAGGAGGAGGAGGAGGAGGAGGAGGAGGAGGGAGGGGAGGAGGAGGAGGAGGAGGAGGAGGAAGGGGAACATAATCCGCTGGAATTCGGTGGCAACCACGATGTTGTGGTCAACGCACTGCAAGAGAGATATAGGCTGGTCGCCTCGGGGGCTGGCTTCCCGCTGGATGGTGCCCTCATCCCGGCCCTGCGTGTCCGTTGGAAGGGCCCTCGTGGCCAGGGATGGGGCCCTGTCTTGGAGCGGCCGGATCCGAAGGGGCCGTCAACCAAACGGGTTGCTGCGTTCCGTGGCGGGGGGATGGAGGGATGGAGGGAGATGCGGAGTGGGAGGCGGCGAAGTTGAGAACCTCAGCCCACTCAGAAAGCCCACTCGGGGCTTTCGTGTACCCTCGCCAGCCCACCGAGAAACGGTTCCCGAGCAAGTTGCCGCGAGGAGGGAAGGCGTGGAACGCTCGTGAAACGAGGAAGTGGTGGCACCAGTCAGACCAAAACATGGATCAGCCCAAGCCGCTCCCCCCACAATGGTGAACCTGGGGCCCTCTGAGAGCCTCTCGTCGTCGTCGTCGGCGGCGGCGGCGGCATCCTTGCCGGCGTCGTTGTCGTCGTCGGCGGCGGCGACGGCTTGAGGCTCTGGTGGGTCTCCGTTGCGAGCCTCTGGGGCTTTCTAGAGGTTGTTCAGCGGACAACATGGTAACAACACAAGGCTCTGGTTGGACACCTCTGCGGCCTGTTGGGGTCCTCGTGGGCTGGGGCTCTTCAGGTGGTCTTGTCACTCTTGGCCACCCACAGGGCCCTCCTAGGCAATCCTGCATCTATCTTGAGGCCTCGGATGCCCATCGGAGGTTTTGTCCAATTCAATGTCAACACAACCAAGTACTGTTTTTTGAGAGTCCTCTGAAAACGACACGTCGTGGCGAACTTTTCCAATTCTGAGGAAGCTAAGTGAACCAATTGCCACCCGCGCTTACGACAATGCTGAACGCTTGATTGGCTAGCCTCTCCGCCTGAGCATTGAGTTCCCGATGGAAGAAGGGGATGCTGCAAGTAACCTCTCTGTTTTCGAGCTTTCATTAAAAAGGGCAGTCTCCTGGTGCCTTCAACTCGAAGCTGCACTTTTACACCACAAGCAGACGATCACGTTGACGTCGCGTTGAAAGGCGTCTCTCGTGCATGCGGGCAGAGCGTGGTATTCGGCCTGGCTATTTGTGCTCGGGAGTGCTGTCGAGCCTGAGTCGCAGGTCGACCTCGCCAAATCAAGGGCACCCTGGTGTCCTGTGTCTAGCGACCCATTTGCCTTCTGCATTCCTGTGGCAACGTGGCCCTCGGAAGAGTCTCGTGCCCTCCTTCGCGTGTCCTCTCCCGTCAGCCCCGACTGCGAGGAGGAGGAGGAGGAGGAGGAGGAGGAGGAGGAGGAGGAGGAGGAGGAGGAGGAGGAGGAGCGAGGAGCGAGGAGGAGGAGGAGGAGGAGGAGGAGGAGGAGGAGGCGGAGGTGCAGCACTCTGCCGCCACCCCGCCGCGCCTCGCCGGGCTGCTCCGAGGCGGCCTCCCCGGGCCGCCGGAGCTGCCCTGGCCCCGGGGGGGGGGGGGCTGCCCGTCTGCCACGCGTGCGGGGCGGTGCCTTCAGCAGCGGGCCGTGGGGGAACGCAGGGCTCTCTTCCCCCTTCTATTTCTCGTCCTCCTCCTCTTTATCCTCCTCCTCCTCCTCCTCCTCCTCCTCCTCCTCCTGGACCCAAACGGTGTTTTGGCGATTTCGTGGGCCGTTTTCGTTTCGACTTCGTTTGGCGGCAGAGGCGGATTGAAGAGCAAAACGGGGGACAACGAAGACGAGACGAAAGCGAACAACACCGTTTAGGTTCAGCCCTGGAGGAACGGCAGTGCCGTAGTCGCCCTCGCCCTCGCGGCGTGCTGGCCGTGAGGCTGGGAAGAGGGAGAAGGGGGGAGCGAAGACGGCCGCCAATGTGCCCCCAGGCACGACGAGGCCAGTAGGGAACGGCCCCTGTGCTCCTCACGCTCGCGCATGCTCAGCTGGCGCACTGGTGCACGCGAGCCACGGGCATTCCAGGTGTCGCAGGGTGCGTCTTCCCAATGTGATGCCACGCCTCTCGCAACTGCCCCGCGGGCTCGGACGGCGCCGAAAAGAAGAGCTGCGAGCAGAAGAAGTTTTGAACAAGGAAAGGCAGCTGGAACGAGTTTGGCGCCAGTCGTCCATCAGGCTGGAAGCGGCGCAGACCCGGTCAGAAGCGCAGCGGACCTGCATGCAATCATACATGTGCTCCACGTGGTCTCCCTCTGCGCCAGCGTTGTGCACGAACCTGTGCTGCCTTCCAGTAACGGTGTTGAACCCCAGCTGAAGCAATCCCCAGCGATGCTGTTGAGGCATCACTGAAAGAAGCCGCGGCAACACAGAACACGTTCTGGTTTGTCTCCAACTTAGTAGGTGATGCCTAACGTACGTATTGAGGGTACCCGCACCTGGCCGCAGCATCTCAATCGGCCTAGTGGGGCCAGGTTCAGCCAGCTTGGGCCCTATGTTCTATCGCGCAGGCAATCTCCGGCAATCTAAAGCCATTTTTCGAGCCATTTTGGGCCACCATGGACGCTCCAGCAACTGGCCACCTCCTGATCAGGCTCCCAGAGAGGGGTGAACCCTGCCCGAAGGGGAAGACTGGCTTGTTTTGAAGAATTGCCACCCTCAGTCGCTCGCGCCCAGAGGGGTGTCGGGATCTTCTCTTCTCTCCCCCCGCTCGTGCCCACTGTGCGGCCCCAAGGTGCGCATTCACAACGAGAAGGGCGGATTCCCGTGCAGCTCCCTGCGAGAGATACGCCTGCTGAAGCGGCTGCGGCACCCCAACATCGTCGAGCTGTACGAGGTGGCAGTGCCGGCTGTGGCGGTGGTGGCGTCAGCAGCGGCAGAGGCGGCGGCAGCGGCAGTCGGAGCAGCGGCAGCGTCGCTTGTGCAGAGGGGGGGGGATGTTACGCTTTGCAGCCCCGAATCTCTGGCGATTTCTGTTTTTCCATCCCGGCGTTGTGCTTCGATTCTGGCGTCTGGGGGCCCGTTTTCGGGCCCAAGGGCGATGCACAGTGGATCCGGGACGGAATCTCTGGGGGGCCCGCACCACTCCTCGGCCCCGAAGTGGTGGCCCGCGGAGGGCAGAGCCACCGCGTGGCCCCCCCAGAGAGCACTCGCCACTCGAAAGTCTTGCCCCCAAACCACACGCAAAGAGCGGGCTGCGTCGCCTGGCCTGTCTGTAAAAACATCGCGGAGGGAACAGGGGCGTCAGGTTGCGTGCGGCCGGCAACCGGGGAGCATTTTCCTGGTGTTCGAGTACTGCGAGCACGACGTGGGGGCGCTGCTGGACCTCATGGAGCGTCCGTTCGCACAGGCGGAGGTGAAATGTCTCGTGATCCAGCTGCTGAAGGCCGTTGAGCGTCTCCACGCTTCCTTCGTTATCCACCGGGACATAAAGCTCTCAAACCTGCTGCTGACCAACAAGGGGCAGCTCAAGCTTGCCGATTTTGGGCTGGCGCGGGAGTTCTCAGATCCCCCCGAGCCCTGCACCGTCAACGTCGTCACGCTGTGGTACCGCGCGCCGGAGCTGCTGTTTGGCGCAAGACGCTATACTCGGGGGCGGCCAAGAGGGGGGTGATGACTAGGGGGGGTGGATATCATGGCGTGGGCCATGATATCTCCCCAGATTTCATGGCGCCTCTTCTTATTTCAACCCGTCCCTGGCTCCCCCTTGAGCCGCGTACATGCCGCGGGCCATGATTGATCCCCCCCCTCTTGGCCGCCCCCGAGATACCACCGCGGTGGACGTCTGGTCCATAGGGGCGAACTTCGGGGAGCTGCTCAACAAGCGGCCCCTGATGCCCGGCAGGGCGGAGGAGCACCAGTCGGCGGCGAGTGAGGGGCAGGAAGTGAGAAGGAAGTCCCCTGGCCTTCTGAGAAGTTTTCGAAGCCTTCCCTAGGGGAACGAAGAATGACATGAATACAAAAACTCGGAGCCCCGCGCGGATTTCTCGGATCCGCGCTGGACCCCCCCCCCTGGCGGCGCCTTCTGGCGCCGCCCCTCGCGCGCTCCGCGCGCCAGCCGCTCAGAAGGCGCGAGGGCCGCCGAGGCGCCCCGCCGCCTTCTGAGGAGGCCTTCTCCTCCCCGTTTTTCCCCCCTCGCTCGCCGCCGAGCCAGCTGCACCTCATCTGCGAGCTCCTGGGGACGCCCAGCCTGAAGATCTGGCCGGGGCTGGAGGAGCTGCCGCTCTACGGGCGCCTGCCGCTCCCCGCCAGCGCCTACAACAACCTGCAGGCGCCGGGGGCCCCCGAGACGGTTCGGCGACCCCAGCGTCGGGCGAGTCAGCGGGGGTTCTCGGGCCGAACGGAAGGGGGGGATAGGGAAAGGGGGGGTTATGACATCTGCTGCATGCAGCTGGTTTCGGCCCCGCCGCCGGGCCCATTCCTAGATACCTGGGCGCCTCCCGTCGCCGGCGGGCGCTGGGAGAATCAGCGACGTGAGCTGATTCTCCATCCTTCCCTTTGCTATCCCCCCTCTCGTTCCCCCCCGAGGTTCGGGGGCGACCGCGCGGCTTGGGACTCGGGTCGTTCTCCGAGGACGTCTCGGCGGCTGGGGCCTCCAGGGTTCCAGAGCCATGCGGTGGCAGACCGTGCGGTGAGGCCTTCCCGAGCCTCGAGCTCGCAGCACGGTCTGTCGCCGCGCTGTGTTCTTCGTGCGCGAAGAGACAAGCACGCTCTCCGCTTCCGCGGTCTCGCGGGCCGGGCTCTGGGGCCGCGAGCCCGCGGATCTACATGCGGGGCGTTTTTTCGCGGACGCCCCGCGCGTAACGTATGCGTGCGACCGCCATCCGCGAAACCGTCGTCGTCGTCCTCGTCATTATCGCCGTCGTTGTTCTTGTCGTCTTCGTCCCCGTCCCCGTCCTCGTTCTCGTCCTCGTCCTTGTCCTCGCCGTCGTCGTCGTCGTCGTCGTCGTCGTCGTCGTCGTCGTCGTCGTCGTCGTCGTCGTCGCCACCAGACCGCGCGGGCGCAGACACGGCTGTGCCCGCCGCTCGTGAGTCTTGGGGTCCCCAGCGTCGGCGGCGAGCAGGGGGGGGGGCAGTGCGCAGGAGCAGGCCCTCCCGGCAGGCTCGGAAGGCCCTGCGGTTCGCCGAGCCTTCCCCGCAGACGCAGGAGGGGGGAGGAGGAGGAGGAGGAGGAGGAGGAGGAGGAGGAGGAGGAGGAGGAGGAGGAGGAGGAGGAGGAGGAGGAGGAGGAGGAGGAGGGAGGAGGAGAGGAGGAGGAGGAGGAGGAGGAGGAGGAGGAGGAGGAGGAGGAGGAGAGGAGGAGGAGGAGGAGGAGGAGGAGGAGGAGAGGAGAGAGGAGGAGGAGGAGGAGGAGGAGGAGGGAGGAGGAGGAGGAGGAGGAGGAGGAGGAGGAGGCGGCGGCGGCGGCGGAGGAGGAGGAGGAGGAGGAGGAGGAGGAGGAGGAGGAGGAGGAGGAGGAGGAGGAGGAGGAGAGAGAGGCCCGAGGGCTCCCGAGACCGGACGGGGCCAGGACGAGGACGGGCCCGTTTCAGGGCGCTCCCCGACCGCTCTCAGCGCGTTCCGGAGCGCTTGGAGGAGGCCGCGGCGCCCGAGGCATCCTCCATAGCCGCCGGATGTCAGGGATTCTTCCCGATTTATCCTTACCCGAATTTATCGTCGTCCTGGCTTAGTCTTCTGCCCCGCCGCCCTCTGAGAAGTTTTTTTCCTCCTCCTCACTTCCCCCCCGAGGGCCGCTATCGAGTGGAGGTCATCCGTCGTCGTTGTCGTCGTCGCCGCCGCCGCCGCCGCCAGAGGTGAAGTTCCCGGACGCCCCAGACAGCTGCCTGGACCTCCTGAACCGGATGCTGACCTTCGACCCGGCCAAGAGGGCCACCGCGATAGGGGCCCTGCAGCACCGGTACTTCACGGAGGCGCCCGCACCGCAGGACCCCGGCGGCGCGCGCACGGGGGTCGGGGTCGCGGGGGGTGGCCTCTGGAGATTTTTTTTGTTGTTTTAACACTCGGGGCCATAACTCGGAGGAGGACAAGGTACCCATACCGCTACCCTTCCCCGTTTTCCTTGTTTTAGGTCCTGAGGCCCCCATCGCCACCGCTGAGTTCGCCTCGAAGTGCTGGTCAGGACGCGCCCCTGGAGAGGTCTGGCGAGTAGCAGTATTGGTACCTTTTGGTTTCCCAAAGATGAGCGTTTTGACCCCCCCCCCCCCCCCTCCTCCCCCTCCACCCCTTCATAACGCAATGCCCCCTCCTCCCGTCCAGTGCGTCCCTGGCACTGCCGCAGTGCGTCCGGCACCACAGTCTGTCACGGTGGGTGGCGGGGGCGTTCTGTTGTGCCCTCCTCCTGCGCCTCCCCCTCTCCTCCCATAAAACGCCCGTTATCACCGCGGCCTCCCAGGTCGTGTTCGAGTGGATGGGGTCGGAAGGCCGCGCCAAATCGTCGATGCATTGGCGATGCGGCTCGATGTGGGGCCCGATCTCCTCCGCGCCGACGTCGTCGATGCATCGCATATCGATGCACCGATGATGCGGCGCGATCCACCAACTGGGAGGCCTCTATTCTGAGTTCTGAGGGTTGTTCTGAGTACCTTGTCCACCATCTTCCAGAGAAGGCAGCTGGCTTCTTAGGAGCCCTCCCGCCTTGCAAGACGCCCTCTCAGCGGCCTCCTGGGTCCTGATGAGAAGGTCCCTGCCTTCTCAGCAGGCCGCCCCCATCTCGGCCCATTCCTGGCCGGCCTCATCCAGGGATCCTGTCCGGTCAGTCTTCCGAGCCGCGTCCAGCCGCGGCGTAGAGAAATCCCAGAAGCGCAGCAGGGCTTTCCAGAGTCGTCGTCGACGAACCCTTTTCTTGCGCGCCAGCAAGCAGGAGCCCAGGTGGATGCCCACCTGGCGGGAGCACCGGAACGAGGCCGGAGGGCGCCAGCTCGTACACCCGCACCCCTCCTGGTCAGGCCGATGGAGGGCCCAGGATCGTCTTGAGTCGGGCCTGTCCCACTACAGGAGGAATATGCGAAAATAGTCAAAAAAAGTCAGGGGACGCTTGTTTGATTATTTTTTGACTACTTTTGATTTTTCCTCCGAAGTCCGCCTGTAGGGGGACATGCCCGACCTGAGCGTATGCCTCCCCGACCAGCCAGGAGGGCCGCTGCACCGATCCTGGGCCGAGGATGGGCCTGTCCATGATCTGTGTAGGTGCCATTCTATGCCTCCCAGATGGGGTCCGAGCAGATGGGGTCGGAGGATCGCGCCGCATAGCGGATGCATCGGCGATGCGGCTCGATGTGGATATCGATTTTCTCCACGCCTGCGTCGCCGATGCACCACCGATGTCGCCGATGCATCGCTGATGCATCGGCGATGCATTGGCGATGCTGCGCGATCTCCGACCCCATCTACTCGGATCCCATCTTAGAGGCCTCTAGTCATGCAGGATGACGATTAGAACATGCCCAGGGGGTCCGTCACGAAGCAGCGCCCTGGGCGATGATTAATAGATGCGATCTCCAGACCCCGTCGTCGTCGTCGTCGTCGTCGTCGTCGTCGTCGTCGTCGTCGTCGTCGTCGTCGTCGTCGCTCAGATTTCTGCATCGTCCTCTGCGAGTTCTCCCCCAGCGCAGGCAACCAAGCTTAACGCTTCGCGTATCCCCACCAGTCCATCCAGGCCCGATGCTTAGCGGAGCTGCCCTGATCGGGAGCCTGGGGGAGCCTCTGTGGGCCAGATGCCTCTTGGCTGCCTGTCGGAGTCTCTTGAGATGCCTCTTGTGGGCCTCTTGCGGGCATCATGGAGGCCTCTTGGAGCGTCTTGGGCGCCTCTTGGCGGATATTAGTGGCGTCTTGGAGCGTCTTGTGTGCCTGTGGGGCGCCTCTTGGGGCCTCTTGGGGGCCGCTTGGGGGGTCTCTTGGGGGCCGCTTGTGGGGCCTCTTGGGGGCCTCTTGGGGCTTCTTGGCGCCCTCTTGGGGGTCTCTTGGGGGGCGTTGCTGGCCGTCTGGGGGCCATCTTGGACCGCCCTCCAGGGAGGCCTAGATGGAGCCGAAACCTAAGACAGACCAGTGATATGGGCTCTGTCGCTGAGGCCACTCTGGACGCTCGAACGGCCCGCGATCTCCCCGTCCAGACCCAGGGGTAGGGGGCAGGGTGAGGGTCCAGACCCCCCCTCGAAGGACGGTCGTCTCGCTCACTCCCACCCGCCCTCCTTCCACACTGGTAGCACACGGGGCTCAGCATGGGCACGGGCTGCCATCGACAATCTTCGGGAATCAATGCAGACGCCAGCCAGGTGCGCGACGCCCGCGAGGTACGCCGCGCGACTCAGGGCACCCCCCACCATCCTGTCAAGCAGCAGTGCAACGTGATCGCCGGGCGCCCGCGCATGATCAACAGATTCTGCCCGAAACTGCCTCTCGTGCTGTTTTTTTTTTTGGGCAGGGGTGATGGTCCTGCGCGCAGCTGGCAATCTGGCGGCCCCACCCTCCCTCGTCCCTGTCTGAAAACAGTGTAACGGGACCGCGTGGTGCCCGCGCATGGTTCAGATTTTGCCGCACGTTCGATTCGGTATTGTTTTTTGACAGGAATGGTGGGAGTGGGAGGGGTTGCCATGGCTCTGGGTTCGCCCCGGGTCAGGTGGGGGCGGAGGTGCATGCATCAAGAAGGAGTAATGATCACCCCCTCCCTGGAAGGGGGAGAAGGGGCGAGGATGGACGAACAACTGCGCTAGGCCACCTCAGCCCAGAGGGCTGGTTGGCTCTGGGGGTGCGTGGAGGGGGGGCTGTCCCCAGGGTGGAGGAGGAGGAGGAGGAGGAGGAGGAGGAGGAGGAGGAGGAGGAGGAGGAGGAGGAGGAGGAGGAGGGGGAGGGGAGGCGGAGGCGGAGGCGGAGGCGGAGGAGGAGGAGGCGGAGGAGGAGGAGAAGGCGGAGGCGGAGGGGACGAGGAGGAGGAGGAGGCGGAGGAGGAGGAGGCGGAGGAGGAGGAGGAGGGAGGAGGATGAGGCGGAGGAGGAGGAGGAGGAGGAGGGAGGAGGAGGAGGAGGAGGGAGGAGGAGGAGGGAGGGGAGGAGGAGGGAGGAGGAGGCGGAGGAGGGAGGAGGCGGAGGAGGCGGAGGAGGAGGAGGAGGAGGAGGAGGAGGAGGAGGAGGAGGCGGAGGAGGAGGAGGAGGAGGAGGATGGGGGCTGGTTCTTTTCGAAATCGTCGGTACCTGAGGCCGCCTGCGCTCCCCTCACCCGCCAACTCGGGGGTCGGGCTCCTTCCTTCTTTTCTCTCCTCCGCGGCCGCTCTCTTCTGTGCCACCTTCCCCTGCGCTTCGCGCCCAGTGTTAGGTCGGGCATGTCCTCCCACAGGCGGACCTTGTAAGAAAAATGCAGCATGGTCAACACAAAAATTAGACATAGGCAAACAAGCACGGCAAATCGTCACCAGACCAGATCTTTACCAATCGTGAATCTTTCCCCTGTAGAGGGACATGCCCGACTGAAGCCCAGTGCGGCCCGCCAGAACCGACGCCCGCGCCAGCGTCCGCCGGCGCTGCCGATGAAACCGATCTTCTGGAGTCGCCGTCCTGTATTACCCATTGGTCGATGAAAGTAGGCATTTTTGGAATCCCAGGTTCCAATCTACTTTAAGCGCCTTCCTACTTCAATGATCGAGTGACTTCACATTTTCCGTCCTCCTTAAGGGGCGGACGGAACTCAATCTGCTTTCAGCGCCTTCCTACTTCAGGTTTCTACCTACTTCTTCCGACCGATGGGTGCATCACCACCCACCAAACCACCCCAACCCGACCCGAAGGCCCAAATTTACCCTCGATTTCCAGTGGGGGGGGGGTCCGGGCACATCGAGAAAACACATGTGGAACCCGCACCCCCCCAACCCGAAAGTTGTGCCTTCGGGTTGGCTTGGGGTGGTCTTGTAGGCAGTCAGTGCAGTGGCCGCCCTCCCCCCTCCTGCGAGGCTGCGAACCCGCGCAACCCCGTGCAGCTGCCCGCGCCGGCGCGGTCTCGGAGGGCCGACGGCCCGGGTGCCAAGCGGGCCGCGCCGCTGGCGCCGCGCTCGGCGGTGTTCGCGGCGGCTAAGAAGGCGGGGCCGATGATTCAGAGAGGTTCTCAGCAAGCGTCGGTCGGAGGTGGATAGACCTCCTACCCTGACGCGTCGATCAGCGAAGTGGCCGTTTTCGGTTCGCGAGAGGGCGCCGCGGCCGTGATTTTTGCTGGCCCAGGTCCGTCGGTTTCGGTTCGAGGCCGCTTTCACTAAAGAGTTGTTTACTACAGGGAGGTCTGTCCACCGCCGAGTCGGGGGCAGCCCCCCGCCGACAGCCCTGCATCGACCCCCGTCGCGGGCAGCCACCCCGCGCCGAAGGCGCTCCGAACCCCCGTCGCGGCGCGAAGACGAGGCGAGGTTGAGCCCCGTCGGGGGGGGACCCCCTCCACGCGTACTGAGAAGCCCAGAGTGGGGCAGGGGAACAAACGATGGCATGAGCATCAGAACTCGGAGCTGCGCGCGGAATTCCTCGTATCGGCGCTGGACCCCCCCTGGTGGACGCACGCGCCCCCCAGCCCCGGCTCAAAAAGGCGGGGGCCCGCCACGCCTGCGTCGGAGCGGCGGAGCGCGGAGAGGCGGCACCTGCAGCCCATGGGAGCCTGGCGTGCCTCCGAAACTGCGTCGGCGGTGGGCAGAACCCCCCACCCTGACACGTCGAATAGGCGAGCATGCGAAAAGCAAGCATTTTTCGCATGCTCGCCTATTCGGTTTTCACAACGTCCCAGACGGGCAAAAAAACCCTCAATATCGCCCCCAGACGGCCAAAGGGGCCCCCAAGAAGGGTCGAAGAGGGTCCAACAACAGCCCACGAAGCCCCCAAGACAGCCCAAGAGGGCCCCCTGACGGCTCCAAGACGGAGTCCAGAGGGCACGTCGCCTCTCGAGATGGCGCCGCGGCCGTCATTTTCCAGGCTGGCGCCCGCCAGGTTCGGGCCTGAGGTAGTTCTCACCAAGCCACGTTTTGCTGAAGGGGGTTCTGTCCATCCCCGACGACGTCTTTGGGGTGCATTCGTGTGCGCTAGCGTCTGGTAGTCGAGGGTCAGGTACAACGATAGGGGGGGATACGATCACACCCCGGCCACGCTTTTCGAGCTCCATTGAACTCCACAGAAGGGCAAAATGAGAAGGCTGCATGCAGTCGTGGGCTCATTTCTCTCGCACCAGCCACCCGTTTCAAGCCCCATAGGAGCTCCACAGAAGGGCAAACATAAAAAGTCAGATGCAGTCGTGGGCTCATGTCGCTCGCACCAGCCACCCCTTTCAACTCCCATTAAAGCTCCACACAAGGCCGAAATCAACAAATCCGCATGCAGTCATAAGCTCATCTCGCTCGCCCCTGCCACGCTTTTCATGCCCCATAGAGCTCCACAGAAGGGCAAAACGAAAAAGTTCTCATGCAGTCGTGGGCTCATATCGCTCGCCCCTGCCACGCTTTTCAAGTCCCAAAGGAGCTCCACGCAGGCCAACGTGAGCAAATCCGCGTGCAACGGCTTCTCGTCGCAGCGGCTTGGTTCCCCTCGAAACTCATGCCAGACTGTATTATTGGACAGGTCCAGATTCTGAAAGGCAGGCAAGGATCATGGGAGGAGGAAGATGTGGAGAACGAGGATGAAGAGGGGTGGGGTGGGGAATCGGAGTCGGAGTCGGAGGATGAGGCGGAGGAGGAGAAGGAGGAGGAGGAGGAGGAGGAGGAGGAGGAGGAGGGAGGAGGAGGAGGAGGAATGGGAGGATGATGAGAAGGAGGAGCAGGAGGAGGAGGAGGTGGTGGTGGAAGAAAACGGGAGTAGTTGGACAAGGAGGAGGAGGAGGAGGAGGAGGGAGGAGGAGGAGGAGGAGGAGGGGGAGGAGGAGGAGGAGGAGGAGGAGGAGGAGGAAGAGAAGGAGGATGAGTTTGGCCCTGATGTGGCTAGTTGATCGGTCAAACTTTCTCACCATGTGTGCTGCCATCAGTGCGAACATGGGTCTCTGTCGGCGCCCCCAAGAAGGAGGAATGACAGGATTGGGGACGGGAGGGGAGGAGAATGAGGAGGAGAATGAGGAGGAGGCGGAGGCGGAGGAGGAGGAGGAAGAGGAGGAGGAGGAAGATGAGGAGGAGGGAGGAGGAGGAGAGGAGGAGGAGGAGGAGGAGGATTGGGAGGAGGAGGAGAGGAGGAGGAGGAGGAGGAGGAGGAGGAGGAGGAAGAAGAGGAGCAGGAGGAGGAGGAGGAGGAGGCGGAGGAGTAGGAGGAGGAGGCGGAGGAGGAGGAGGAGGAGGGATAGGGTATATGACGGGAAGTGCAAGGCAACATAGCATAGCCCGTTGGGTGAATCATTGCATTTGGGCCCAACTGGAGATGAAGAGGAAAACTGGCAATAACAATTCCTGTGATGAGAACCTTGGATGCTCTTGGTTCCTTCTGTAGGGCTTCTCGGGGGCTAGATCCGCCTCGAAGTTCTGCCAAGGATGGGCCCCGGGAGGGGTGCTGGGACCGATGTTGAGTGGATTCTCGCGCTCGGTGTCGGGGGCGTTGGGCAGGCATCATTTGAGGCTCCCCGGAAGGTGCGATCCTCTATCTTCTGACGTGGTCCCCCTGGCGGCGCGAGAAGCAGAGCACGCGCCTCGTCCTTCGCCCCAGGCCTCTCTGCTTCTCCCCCGTGCACCATCTCGCGGTCCGCTCGCTACAGATTCCTCCCCTCTTCCTGCTATCTCCTCCTCCTCCTCCTCCTCCTCCCCTTCTTTCCGCTCGTCGTCGCCGTGCGCCTTTCTTCCTCGCGAATCGGGCTGCTGGTCCGCCGGTCTGCGGTTGATCGGGACTTCTGTCACAAGGATCCAATATGCCAAACGCCTGCGGCAAGCGCGGAACGCCGAACCAATTTTAAGCAAGGACAGCTTGAAACACGTGGACCTAACCAACATCACAAACATCATAACATACATATCAAGCGTATCAGTATGACACATCTTTAGAAGCGAAGGAAGCATACCAAAGGCGGGTGAACACATACCATTCATAAACAGCGCACGACACAGTAACACAAACAACAAGTTGTGCATTACGTTCATGAGGTGCAGGAAACACGAAACTGTCCCTTAGAATGCAATTTCGACCCAGATGCGACATTTTTTGCGACATCCGCCTTCGACATGGATTTGAGTGAGTTGGGTACGGCAGCAAACTTTTACCAGAAATCGTGCGGCATTATCGACTGATGTGTTCTTCCTCCTATCAACCTGAGCCAGGGCGGACCCACGAAAAACAACATCGTTCTCGTTGCCGCGTCCTATTTACAGCACGTGCCAGACACAAAGTGTAGTTTGGGGCGCTCCCGCGCGTCGATGCCGAGGCGTGTACAATTCTTCGCCCCACCAGGACTTGCAGGGACGATGTCCAGGCGAGTTTCCCTGGCCGAGAAGTGCACGTATGAGCACATAGCGGAATACATAGGGGGGAACGACCGTGGTCTTTCGAAGGAGAAGGAGGAGGAAGAGGAGGAGGAGGATGGAGGAGGAGGAGGACAGAGTAGGGAGGAAGAGGAGGAGGATGAGGAGGAGGAGGAAGAGGAGGAAGAGGCGGAGGAGGATGAGGATGATGATGACGAGGAGGATAAGCAGAAGGAAGATCAAACTTACGAAGCACGTAATCGCTCAATTTCAGGTGAACCCTAGGAGGGCGGAGGATGAGGGGTATGACGGGCAAGAAGAGGAGGAGGACGAGGAGGAGGAGGAGGAGGAGGAGGAGAAGGAGGATGATGAGGATGTGGGAGGAGGATGACGACGACGACGGTGATGCTGCTGCTGCTGCTGCTGCTGATGATGATGATGATGATGATGATGATGACGAGGATGCTGCTGATGATGCTGATGATGATGATTGTGATGCTGATGATGCTGATGACAATGACGAGGACGATGATGATGCTGCTACTGATGATGACGATGATGCTGCTGATAATAATAATACTGATCATGCTGCTGCTGATGAAGATACCGGTGCTGATACCGCTGATGCTGATGATGTTTCTGATGCTGCTGATGCTGCTGCTGATGCTGCTGCTGATGATGATGCTGACGATGATAAGAACGTCGTCCTTGTTGTTGTCGCCGATAATGGTAATGCTGCTGCTGCTGCCGGTGATGATGCTGGTGCTGATGTTGAACATGATGTTGATATTGTTGTTGTTGATGATGATATGAGAGCGGATGCCACTGGCGATGATAACTGTGCAGATGGTGATGATCATGACGATAAACATACATCTGATGCTGATGATGATTATGATGCTGAGGATAACGATGCCGCTGATGATGAGGATGGTGATGACGTTTATGATGATTCTGATGCTGCTGCTGATGATAAGGATGAAGAGGATGACGATGATGATGACGATGATGTTGATGATGATGATGATGACGATGATGATGATGATGATGATGATGATGATGATGATGATGATGATGATGATGATGATGAAGAGGATGACGATGCTGCTGATGATGATGATGACGATGATGATGATGATGCTGCTGCTGATGATGATGATGATGGTTGCTGCAGCCATGGTGCGCTACTTCCAGGCCGACGACGTGCGCCCGCTCTCTTCAGCGAGCGCAGGGCGGCGCCCGCCTTGGCCGATCGAGTTTGAGGACTGCGCGTTGTCGCGCGAGGCATGCTGAGGCGGGGGCCTTCGTCTCGCACTGGTCACACGCGGTTTCGCAGTTGCGCGCCTCTCCGCGCCGCCGTTCACAGTCATTGAAGCCCGCCAGAAAGTAGAGCATAAGTCTTCGATGAGCCCCGCTCGTTCGATCCGCCGCGCTTGGCGCACGAGGGTGCGACGCGGATCCTGTCGCGTTTCGGCACCGTGCATCCTCGAGTCCAGGTGCTTCTGCTCGGGGATGAGGTGTGCGGCATCTTCGTTTACCAGCAGACTCTGGGAGTCGGCCAGGCTCTGTCGGCGGCTGCGCGGGAGGACTGCGTGGAGCGCGCGGCCGTGCGCCCATGTGCCAAGGTGTGCCAGCCGGCTTCGCCGTCGCGCCGTTGGGCCCGACGCGTCTCCCCGGGGCCTCGGGGGGGTGTCGGGGGCGGCGAAGCGAAGGCGGCGCGTCGGGAGAAGCTGATAGCCCCTTTGCATGGATTGATGACTTGGCCGAATCGCCTTGTGGAACTCGATTGATGGAGAGGAATCGTGCTGCTGAATGATTCCCAGGTGTCCAACGGATGTTTCGATTCTGTTTTAAGTATGTTGAAGACATGGTTGGAACATTTTAAGAGCATGTTTCACACATTTTAAACAAATATTTAATTCAATGATAGGATTGTTAGAGTGTCCATTGTCATGGCATCCACCAGAATAGCCGCATGGGGTTCGTGTGACGTGCGATTTAGATGGGGTGTTCTCGCAGGTATCGAGCGCGGAGGCTAGGCGCGGGGCGACGAAGGGCTTGTGCGAGCAGTTCGCAGTTCAGCCCGAGAGCGGGGGCGAGGTAGTTTCTGCTTCTATCGCTGGTTGGGGGCTGCGGGCGGGGCCGATGGAGTCGGTCTCGCGGCCGTTTTTCCGCGGGGGCGGCGTCGAGGAATGGGGCGTTTGAGTTTGCGTCCCCTGATTTGGGGGGGGGGGCGAGTCGCGGCATTGCCTGATCGTGGAAGGTGCTAGTTGGGATCCTTCATGTTTTTGGTTTCGTTTCTGGGGGGCCGCGGAGGTTTCCTGGCGATCGGCGATCGCGCGACGATTGGAGGCCCGCCGCCTTGTGCTCCGCGTCGCAGAGGGGGGCAGGGGTGTCGATTTTTTCTCGCAGTGTCTCCGTCAGCCCGTGCAGTTTGTTGCGTGTGAGGTCTGCGGGCTGGTCTTTCTGGGGCCTCGTGGTGGGTCTCCGTGCATCCTGGGGCCGTCGTGGGAGCTCTCTTGGGCGAGGGTGAGCGGGTGTCAGGATGTTCGGGCACGTGGCCAACCTGGTGTCCGCGTCTCTGACGTCGGGCAAGAAGGGCGTCCACGCGTGTCGATTGTCGGCAATTGCCGTATTTTGGTCGTGGCGTCTTCGGATGCCGGGGAGAGTCCGGGGATCGGGGCATTCTGGTTTTCGCGTCGTACGTCGCGACGTCGCGCAGGCGTCGTGGTGCGCCGGATCGCGAGGTACAGTGGCATTCGGCGCGCGGTGTGTTCGCGCACTAATTAGGGCGCGCGGGTTCCGGAATTCATTGTCCGCGGGGTTATTGGGCACAGGGGGGGCGGGGTTTGAAGAGCGAGAGGGTGCTCGCGGTGAAACGGGTCGGGCGAGGGGTTGGGGGGGAGTTGCGCGGTGCAGCGAGAGTTCGTGCTATCGCAGACCAGTGGGTTTCGGCATGATAGTTTCAGGTTCCCGGGCGGGCGCGGGGGGGGGCGAGAGTCTGGAAGCTTGGGTCTCCGTCGGGCGTGCCGGGATTCGGCGTAGGGGGATCTCCGCCCCGTGCGTGGCCCTCGAAGTTGAGGATTCGGCGGCGAGCGAGGGGGGGAATTGAGAAGGAGAAGGCCTTCTCAGAAGGCGGCGGGACTTCTCAGAAGCCCTCGCGCCTTCTGAGAAGTTTTTCCTGTCTTCGGGGAAGGCTTAGCACACTTCTCAGAAGTCCGGGGGACTTCCGAGCCTTCTGAGAAGGTACGCCCCTTCTCACTTCCCCCCCTGGCTCACCGCCTGAGGATGTCGATTGAATGGGGGGCTTTGCTCCCATCGGGTTGGCCCTGGGAGCGCGCGCTCGGGCGGGGCCACAGAGCGCCGCGGCGAGCCCGTCACGGCGGGCCAGGTAGCTCGCTGGAGCCCAGAGTTCGCTGGGATCACGATTCCCGCGCCGCCGATTGAGGACGTCTCCGCCCCGCCGTCGAAAGTGGCGACGTGACTTTGGCAGCTTTCGTCCACTCGGTCGGCGACGTGGCGCCCGCGTCCCCGGGGAAGCCTTTCAGGGACTCCCGCCTGTGTCGGTCGAGCCTGCGAGCGCCGTGTGAAGTGTGCTCGAGAGCACCTTCGGGGTCGAATGAACTAAGCTCGGGTCGGGCGAAAGGGGGGGGGTTGGGAAAGGGGGGGTTACGAAATCTGCTGCATGCAGCTGGATTCGGCCCCGCCGCCGGGCCCATTCCTCGATACATGGGCGCCTCCAGGCGCCGGGAGGCGCCGGGAAAATCAGCTACGTGAGCTGATTCTCAAACCCCCCCTTTGCTATCCCCATCCTTTCGCCCGACCCGATAAGCGACCGTTCCCGATGGGCGTCTCCGTGAAGGTTTTTTAGGGGCGGGGATCCACCGCGACGACGCGGTCGGCCGCGCCGCCATCAATGAGGGCGCTTTTGCCTCTGCGAGCGCGCGGAGTCAGGCGCGCCCCCCCGCCGGCGTCGCGCCCGGGCAGTGCCCCGCGGTGACGAGCGCGCGGCTGCTTGGCGCCCCGCTGCTTTGATTATATATATATATATATATTGGAGCAACGGTGCCGTAGTGGTCGAGCGTGGAGGCACGCTAAAGATTGCCACTTGCAGGTGCCGAGTTGCAATCTCGAACACCCGCGCGCGGGGTGCCCCTTCTTGAGTGACTTGGAGTCGTTGCGTCGATCGCCGGGGACCTTGCGCTCGAGCCTCCCGCAGTCGTTGCTTCGACCGTTCGAGATGAACGCATGCCTGCGTGGTTTGCGCCGCCCCCAATCCCATCGCGTGCGTTGTTTTTCTAGGTACTTCCAGGGTCGCCGTATGGATGGCAGACGAAGGCTTCCTGTGCCAGAGAACAGTGCGTGTCTCGTGGCTTGCGCGGTGGCCGACGCTTGCGGCGAGCGTGCGTTGGTGTCAAAACTCGCCGGGTGGATGCCATGTCAAGGCGCAGTTGACCGAACGTGCCAGCGAGGTAGCGCATGCGCCAGCTTGTAATGGCGCTGGTACCACGGCAAAAGCGTCGTGCCGGGGCGCATGGGCGGGGGGGGTCGGATGCGGGGGGGGCAGGTATAGGGGGGGCGTGAGGGTGATGGGAAGCAAGTCTCCATGCTTTGGGTGGTTGGTGCATGTGCGTGGGCCTTGCCGCAACAAATGCTTAGGGGGCTGCGGGGGGACTTAGGCGAGTCCTCTGTATCTTGGCCTCCGTTTGCTGTTCCCCCCTCCATGTCCCCCTCTTCCTTTCCCCGCTGGTGCGCCAGGGCAAGGGCTCAATTTCGAAAATTTCCCGTCCATCCTTGATGCGGTTGAATCGTTTAAGACGACTGTCAGTGGCGCGTAGGCGAGAGTCAGATTTTCACCGCCCCCCCGCATCTTCGAAGCTGATGTAATTGTTTAGAACGAACGTTCGTTGAAAAAGAACCCGCCCTCCATCCGTGAGGCTGTTCCAGGCGTCGTGCTCCAGGGTCCTAAGTTGTGAGGGAGTGTCGAGCGAAGCATCCGGCCCGCCCTACCGACGCTCCTGGGGGTGCGACGGGGCTACGTAAGGTATGCATCACATGTCTGTCTGTCTGTCTGTCTGTCAGTCAGCTAATCAGTCAATCTGTCTGTCTGTCTGTATGTATGTATGCATGCATGTATGTATGTATGTATGTATGAATGTATGTCTATGTATGTGTGTGCCGGTATGTATGCAGGTATGTATATATGTATGTATGTCTGTCTGTCTGTCTGTCTGTCTGTCTGTCTGTCTGTCTGTCTGTCTGTATGTATGTATGTATGTATGTATGTATGTGTGTGTGTGTATGTATGTAGATATGTATGTGTGCGTTCATGTATGTATGTATGTATGCATGCATGCATGCATGTATCTATGTATGTATGCATGCATGCATGTATGTATGCATGCATGCATGCATGCATGTCTGTCTGTCTGTCTGTCTGTCTGTCTGTCTGTCTGTCTGTCTGTCTGTCTGTCTGTCTGTCTGTATGTATGTATGTATGTATGTATTTATGCATGTATGTATGCATGTATGCATGTATGTATGTATGCATGTATATATAGGCATATACATATGTATCCAGATGTGTTTCTATGGAAACATGTGAGACATGTGGTATTATTTGGAGAAGGGGCGTGCGTGGACAAATGATGATGCTGCTGCTGCTGATGATGATGCTGATGAGGATGCTGATGCTGATGCTGATGCTGATGCTGATGCTGGTGCTGCTGATGAGGATGAGGATGAGGATGAGGATGAGGATGAGGATGAGGATGAGGATGAGGATGATGATGATGATGATGATGATGATGATGATGATGATGATGATGATGATGATGATGATGATGATGATGATGATGATGATGGGGGAGGATGAGGACGAGGACGAAGAGGACGATAGAGTGGGAGGAAATAGGCGATGACGACAACGTGAGTTAACCGCAGAAGGTCTTCGCGGTTGTTTTGCTTTTGAAGCTTTTTCTGAGTATATTGGACGGGTGATGGTTTTAATTCTTGAAGTCTCTGGAGCTCTTGAAGTCAACGCGGGATTGCAGAGTGAGGGTTTCGGTACTAAATTACGTAGTCGTTTCGTCGTCGTCTAGGTGCACGCATGATATAACACAGCGATGACGTGGGAAGTGTCATCCGCCAGTTGCGGCACAGCGTCTCCAACTGTCAGGGGGCGCGGTAGTGGATTGGGTGGCTCGCGTTGTGTGTGCGACGGATTCCGTTCGCAGTTGTTACGGCCACTGCGTGCGTCGGCGCTCCTTTCTAGCGACCGGCGCCTTTTGAGCATATGCTTCGGGTAGTCAGGCACATGTGCCTCTTCTACTTTTCACGTCAACGGTGTCGTTGATGAGTCGGCGATTACCTTCAAGACCACCGTCAGTTCTAGCCGTCGGATTCGGAGTTAATTGGAAAAGTGCGGGGGACGACACATGCCAATTCAAGTTTTGAGATCGAAAGGGCGGAATTCGGTAATGTCAGGCAATATTTAACCGGTGGCCATTTGTTCCTGCCGACCTCCGTCCCTCCGTCCGTCCCTCTTTGGGAAACGATTGTGCGAGGACTTTCCATGCGAACGCACCTGATGGGAGTTCGGTTGCAGGTTCACATTTTCTTGTAAGATTCCGCGTTTGCCCCGTTTTCGGTGTCGTGGGGCGCAATTCGGTTTTTCATTTCCTCGCGCACCAGGGGCCGGATGACGTGAGTGCACAAGTGGCAACTACATCAATTTATTGATCCTCTCCTTCTCGCCTGCTTTGTTCTTTTTGCGTTTCGTTCGTTTGGTTTTGTGTCTCGCTGGCCCGCCTGGGTCCCTTTCACAGCGCGAGGCCGCTTGAGAGATGTTGGATTGATGAAACACCGATGGGGTATCCCAGCCAAGCATCGTGATAGCGAGAAAGATCCGGTCCAGGTAGTGCCTGGATGCGCTCCTTTTAAGGTCCTGGTAGCCCTTATGAGCTCGTGGAACGGCCCAGTCGTTGTCTTGATAAGTCCCTTGAGAGGGCCATGTATACCGTCTTCGAACGGGCACGCGGGCGCTGTGTCTTGGCAGGCTCATAGAGAGCGACGGCGATGACTACGACAACGATGACGATGACGACGAGGATGAGGATGAGGATGAGGAGGATGATGATGAGGACGAGGACGATGATGATGCTGATGATGGTGATGGCGATGATGATAGTGATGATCATGATGATCTGTAATGATGCTTTTGATGATGATGATGATGATGATGATGATGATGATGATGATAAGCTTGATGCTTGTGATGGTGATGGCGATGACGATGACGAGGACGAGGGCGATGACGATGATGCTGATGCTGGTGGTGATGATGACGACGACAATGATAATGATTATGGCGATAACGATGATGATGATGATGATGATGATGATGATGATGATGATGATGATGATGATGATGATGAAGACGATGGTGATGATGCTGCTGATGGTGATGGCGATGGTGATGATGATCATGATGATTTGTAATGATGATGATGACGGTGATGATGCTGATGATGCTGATGATTATGGGTATGGTGATGATGATGATGGCGATGGCAATGATGAGGACGAGGACAAAGACGATGATGATGCTGGTGGAGATGATGATGACGACGATGACGTTGATGATGATGATGATGATGATGATGATGATGGTGGTGGTGGTGGTGGTGATGGTGGTGTTTATGATGTTGTTGATGATGGTGATGATGATGACGATGACGTTGATGACGATGCTGAGCATGATGATGATGACTAACGAGGACGATAATGATGATGGTGATGATGATACTGAGGATGATGATGAAGAAGCTGATGACGACGATGATGACGACGACGAACTTGAGCATGCTGTTGAAGATGATGCTGATGCTTGTGCTGCTGCTGCTGATGATGGTGGTGATGTTGTGGATGATGATGCTGATGCTGCTGACGATGATGATTTAGCTGATGATGATGCTGATGTTGATGTTGATACTGATACTGATGATGATCATGATGATGATGCTGATGGCGATGATGGTGGTGATGGTGGTGATGAAGATGATGATGCTGATGCTGCTGCTGATGATGGTGGAGGTGGTGGTGGGTTGTTGTGCTGATGGTGATGATGATGATGATGCTGATTCTGCTGATGATGATGATGCTGATGCTGATGCTGATGCTGATGATGACGATGATGATGCTGATGATGCTGATGATGCTGCTGCTGATGATGATGCTGATGCTGCTGATGAGGATGATTATGATGCTGATGATGATGATGATGCTGATGCTGATGATGAGGATGATGATGATGATGATGATGATGCTAATGCTGCTGCTGCTGCTGCTGCTGCTGCTGATTATGATGATGATGATGATGATGATGATGATGATGATGATGATGATGAGGAGGATGATGATGATGAGGATGGTGCTCTTGTTGCTACTGCTGATGATCATGATGAGGAAGAGGAGGAAAAGTGGCTGGAAGAGTAGGAACACTCGCGCGATTGTTGACACCCGCCCCGTGCCTCGCGCGCGTCCGTCGCCCCGCCGCCGTCTCGGGCCCCGAGCGCGCGGCCCATGCCCGCGCCCAGGGCCGCGCCCGCGCCGCCGGGGCAGAGAGTTAGCGGAGGCCGAGAGATCCCGAGAGGGGGGAGGGGGGGCGATCGGGCAGGGGGCAACGACACTATCTTGGCGAAGGGCCGAACGATCTGCAAGTGTGAGTACCGCAAGGCAGGTGGGACGAAGGGGGGGGGAGCTCCTTATGGGGCCACGAACAACAAGATGGGGCGATCGGAAAGGGGGCAACCAACAAAAGTGTCACCGCGGGAGGTTTTGCTGCATCTTGGGCTTCTACGGGACGTCGCATGGCCCCAGGACTGTCAGCAAACGTAACAGAAAAGGGGGTCGGGACTTCGGTGGACCAGAAAGGGGAAATAGGGAAGGTGAGGTCGGGAACGGGGGGAAGAGGGCATATTTGGGGAGGGGATATCGGAAAGGGGATATCGGGAAGGAGGGGGATATCGGGAGTGGGGAGGAGGAGGAGGAGAATGCGAAGAAGAGGAGGGAAAGGGGGAAGGAAGGATGATGGAGGAGGAGGAGGAGGAGGAGCAGGAGCAGGAGCAGGACGAGGAGTAGGAGGAGGAGCAGGAGGAGGAGGAGGAGGAGAAGGAGGAGGAGGATGAGGAGGAGGAGGCGGAGGCGGAGGCGGAAGCGGAGGCGGAGGCGGAGGCGGAGGCGGAGGAGGCGGAGGCGGAGGAGGAGGAGGAGGAGGAGGAGGAGGATGCGGAGGAGGAGGAGTAGGAGGAGGATGAGGAGAAGGAGGAGGAGGAGGAGGAGGAGGAGGAGGAGGAGGAGGAGAAGGAGGAGGAGGAGGAGGAGGAGGAGGAATGGGGAGGAGGAGGAGAATGGGAAGAAGAGGATGGAAAGGGGGAAGGAGAGATGATGGAGGAGGAGGAGGAGGAGGAGGAGGAGGAGGAGGAGGAGGAGGAGGCACGGGGCCTAGCAGTCA